AAAATACTAGAAGGGGTTTTTGTTACAAAAACATATGTCTCCCAAAACTTTGTATGGCTTAAAAAAAATAAAGCACAGAAGGCGCTGAATTTGTTTGGGTCTCAGAATGTCAGAAAGGGGAAGGTTGTGAGATTATAAACCAATTTGTTTGTATAGAGTCACCAATGCTGTTTCCAGTGTTATAACTATAGTAAATTGGCTATAAGACTAATTGCAACACTGATATTTGGCTTAAACAATTAATATATATATATAAAAAAAACCAAAAAAAAACATGTACCTTAAACCCTTAACTTGGATTTGAACTCCAGACCTCACGCTTCCTAAGCGAGCGTAAAAACCCCTTGACCACCGGAAAGATATAAGTTAACGGCCTGAAGAAAACCATATTATTCTAAATAAGGGTTTGTAACCCTTATTAATTTCGATATATTTTGTTCACGGTAAACCTGTTGTTTAACACTGCTGTAAATAATCATGGAGCTTAATATAAGCATGTATATCTATAAGAATAACACAATATTAGAAACCTTCGACCAATCGGGAACTATTTTTTCTTTACGAAAATTAATGCGCCTGTCATTTGACAATCTTAACGCAGTGATCTCCCCTTAATTTTTCTGCGTTAGTGTACATATAAAGGGAAGTAACCGCTTCAAGGTGTTTGGACTACTTTTGCCATTTGCAAATAAGCACATCAGGGTCTGAATTTTGGGCTACCATTATTTGTTTGGTCTGAAGACCCAAACAAATAAAACAGGTTTCAGCACCAGCAGAAGTAAAGAAAACTACTTTTTATTGTTTCTTCTGTAAGCATGTTTGCCCAACATCGCTTTCTGTTCTTTATACCATAAATGTGGTTTACAGCAAAAAAAAATTGTATTTGTTCCTAGTTTCTTCTTCAAAATGAAACTAGAACTATCACTAAATGTGATTAATACCCCCGCAAGACTGCTTCGGAAATGAGGAAGTTACTAGTAACAGAATACCTTGCAAAAGAACTGAAATAGAGTTATGGTTGTGGGCAATTAAAGACAGTTGTGGTTCTTGTATGTTGCATTTCCTTTCAATGTGGTTGACCATTGGAATTACTCTGTAATAAGTCCAAAAAGAGTTACGCTTCTTGAGCACTGCACTTCCTCTCATTGCGCTTCACCATTGAATGAAGTTTCATTGAATTCTAAACATTAGTTTTTAAGTTATGCACCTGACAAGGAAAAGGAACAAAGGGCAATAACTCTACAAATACTGAAGATGGAGTTATGGTTCTTGTGCACTGCACTTCATCTCACTGCCCTTGACCATTGTATGAAGTTTCTTTGAATTCCAACCATAAATTTTCAAGTTATGCACTGGTCAATAAAAAATAACAAAGGGCAAAAACTCTTAAATGAATCAAGAAAGAGTTATGGTTTCTGTGCACTGCGCTTTCTCTCAATATACTTGACCATTGTATGAAATTGTATTGAATTCCAACTATTAGTTTTCAAGTTATGCTCTGGACAAGAAAGAAGCAATGGAAAAGTAACAAAGGGCAATAACTCTATAATTACTCTGGACAGAGTTATGGTTCTTGTGCACTGCACTTTCTCTTATTGTGCTTGACCATTGTATGAAGTTTTTTGAATTCCAGCCAGTACTTTACAAGTTATGTTCCGGACAAGGAAAAGTATCAAAGGGCAATAACTCTGTAATTTGTCAAAATGGTGTTATTCTTCTTGTGCATTGCACTTCCTCTTAATGTGCTTGACGATTGAATGAAGTTGTATTGAATTCAAACTAGTAGTTTTCAAGTTATGCTGCGGACAAGGAAAAGTAACAAAGGACAATAACTCTGAAATTAGTCAAGATGGAGTAATGATTCTTGTGCACTGCACTTTCTCTCAATGTTCTTGATCATTGTATGAAGTTGTATTGAGTTCCAACCATTAGTCTTCAAGTTATGCTCCGGACAAAAAAAAGCAATGGAAAAGTAACAAAGGGCAATAATTCTGTAATTACTTTAGATAGAGTTATGGTTCTTGTGCACTGCACTTCCTCTTATTGTGCTTGACCATTGTATGAAGTTGATTTGAATTCCACCTAGTAGTTTTCAAGTTATGCTCCAGACAAGGAAAGGTAACAAAGGGCAATAGCTCTGTTATTAGTCAAGATGGAGTTATGGTTCTTGTGCACTACACTTCCTCTCAATGTGCTTGACCATTGTATGAAGTTATATTGCATTCCAACCATTGGTCTTCAAGTGATGGTCCGGACAAAATGCTTTAAAGGGATACAAATTTACAACAGTCTTTTCTGGGAGTTCTTTGACCTGATGTCTGTAACAGAGATAAAACAATAAACATAAGTGTGCTGTATAATATATCATTAGATCTAAAAAAAATCACACATTTCACAGAATATGTTTTATTAATTGTTCCCAGAGTATTTAGAGTTTTAATGTAAAAAGCAAATTTCATTATTTCTGTGATTACCTATAACTGGCCATATTTGTAGTGTAGTGTTTAAATCTTTTTCAAAATGCTGTAATTCTATCTGCATGCAATAGTTTTCTTTGAGACTTCATGCATTTGCAGATAAAATGTTGATTTTGATTTTTTTTTTAAAAAGTTTGGAATTAATATTACATGTTACATTTGTGGGTTTAGTGAAATTGCATTATTTCTGAAACACCACTCAACTATGTTTTATTTCACTTTTTTGTTGTTATTTCAATAATCTGCTCTGTAAATATCAGTACAGATCAATATCTTCTATCTAATATTTCTTGGAAATGAGTTTTATTTCATATATAGCTTATAAAAAAATAATTTCATTTACAGTACAAAACCTTCCATTGAAATATTATTACTTTGCTTCAAGCTTTTAAAAAGAAACAAAAAACATACTCAAATCTACTGGTTTTACTCCAGATCTGAGATTTTTTTTAAATTTATTCCAAAGAAATTGTATTAGTGGTTATAAGAACATAATTTTTATATGTATCTAGTGGTATAATAAAATAGACAAGATGTTGTGTTACATCTGTTAACCCCAATTTACAACAAAAAGTACTAGTTCCTTGCTGTATAAGGGAAAAGTATAATATATGAATGGAAATTTAACCACTTCATACCTTACAACACAGTGTAGACATTTTCATTTAGTGCTTTAACTATCGCCATTATTAATATTTAATGCCTAAAGAGACAGGAACAAGTTTGGTAAAAATAAATTCCCCAGGCCCAGATTCTTGTCAGTAACAATATACTGTAACTTAACAGAGGCATGACCTTTTGTTACTGTAAACAAAAATGTAAGTTGGCAGTCATTTCTATTTGATGAATTTGAAAAAATATTTAACTTACCAATAAAAGTTTATCAAATATAAATAAATGCAAGACCATGACCACAAACCATATATTTGACATACAATGGTAAAAAGGTATGTTTCGGTACAATTATGATTGAAAATATGTCTTACAACACTTTTTAATCAAAAAATACCCAGTGATGTACAATTTTAAACAAATCCAGAATTTTCTATTTTTAGCTCCTGTGACCTAGTTTTTCATCCGAGATGACCCATGTTCGAACTCATCCGAGCAATTACCTAGACAAGCATCCTGACCAAGTTTGATGATGATTGAGGCAAAAATGTGACCACTAGAGTGTTAACGAACAAATGTGGACGGACCACGGACATTCAACTATCCTAAAAGCCCACCCTGAGCAAGCTCAGGTGAGCTAAAAATGATATTTATGTAACTAGCTCAAATCGTCTACTATGTGTTGATTAGTAACTGTAAATTAAGAGGCCATTGGTACTGGTAGAACTTAAGATGTATCCATCTTGCTTGTTTAGCTTTATTTCATACAAACAGGTGGACAGACATGATTACATGCCCAAGGTCATAAAAAAATACATAAAGTAATAAAGTAAATTTCTAAGTTTTGGGAGAAAGAAATATTGGCGCTAGAGTAATAAACACATGTCATATATGATGTGGATAATAAGGGACATACATTTGAAGTTAATCTCTAAAAAAATAAAGATGTGAAATATTTTACTGCGCTAACTTTAACTAGAAATATCACATAGACACTTGGTTCAGTATTAAAGCTCTTCTTATACTTGGTTTAGTTGCACTACAAATGAGCTGCTTAATGTTGATGTTTGTTTTCCATTTATTTCTCTTAGACACGTATATTAATGATTACACATTTAATATTAATTATTTCCTACAATTTAGAAATAGAATTGACCAAGCATAACAAAGCAAGTTCTATGGTGTCAATATCATATCTTAATTAATATCAACACATTGAGTGATAGTGTGGCTGTGTGGTTAATGCCTTGAACTAAGGATTGCTGGTCGCGTGGGTTCAAACCAAATCAGGGACAAGCCGTTGTTTCCATGAGCAAGGAACTTTACACAGAAACAGATTAAAGAATGTTTCATTAGCTTATAGCTTCCAACAAAATAGAACTAAAATAAATTAGTATAAACTAACATATCATAATTGTTTATATAGTTGTTGTCCTTATAACACACTATCTTAATTATAGCACAATGACCTAAACTTCCCCTTGTTTAGTTTTCTAAAGGAAGCTGTCATATTAGAATTCATAATCAATATTGTGTTTAACTTAATATCAAAAAAAAATTCAAGACTAAAAATAGATTCAAAAATTTTCACAATTTTTATTTCACATATACACCTCAATTTCAGTTTTGATAATACAAAAAACCCCAAAAAAGCACCCCAATTTAAAATATCACAGTAAAAAATCTTCTTTTATCAAAAAAATCTTGCCCACATTTCTATAAAAAACACATTTAACACAAACACATTTTACAGTTTTTTTCAGGGGAAACCCGTTTTTATATCACTAAAATACATTTTTAAAAAGATAGCAAAAGTGTTTAGGGCTAATTTAACGTAAGTACTAATTTTGAACCTTTAAAGTGGGGTTTAAAGGAGATTTTTCCCCCATTTAAAAATAAGCCCAAATATAAATGGATGGTAATAAGATAAATTTCCCTGTGTAACAAATATAAGAATTATAGACACATAAGCTTATGCAAAATACAGGTAATATGTACCATTGCAATTCATGTAATAACTAAGTTTTTATCTTAACATTTAAGTACAGTTTTCAAGATATGGGAAAAGAATAAGATAATGAAGAGGTTAGCATCACTAGTAAGGTATTTTACTAGTAAGATTAATCTAATTTTTTTATTTATGTCAGTGTATTAAATTTGAAGAAAATCTTTGAAGTACATTTAGAGTTTTGCTCAGGAATTTTTTTCCAAGTGAATCTGATAAAGAGGAATAACTCTAAAAGAAGGCAAGGCAGAGTTATGCTCTGTTAGTGTTTGAAGTTTGAAAAAAAATCACTCAAGTACTTTTGTAGTTATGCTCTGGACAATTCCACTGATGCACAGACAGAAAACATTTCTAATATCACCTTTGCCTTTGATGTAGGGATAAATAAACCAAAGACACTGTATGAATGTGACTAACAGCTACAAAAGGAAATTAAAATAAAATATATTTTTATCTAAAGTAAGAAAGGTTTTCAATGTGCTCAAATCTTACACCAATGTATATGTTTTACAACAAACATATTTAGTTATTTGACTGCATTTGCAGAGAAAGAGAAGTATAACACATAGAGTGACCATAATTTCATGAATTCTAAGCTGAATATCAGCAATGGAACTGTCAATTATACCGATAGTGATATGTCCGGAAACCCTGACTGTAACAAGTAATGTTGTTTTCAGCAACTCGTAAAATCTAACGATTTTTTTCTCCCCTTAATTTTCTGTAAAATTCAACCAGTCTTTATATACATCTAAGTTTATCACTTTTAAGGTTAAATATGTTTTAATAATTATACATTGCTCATATTTAAAATAAATTACCTAAAAACGAAGCAAGTAGCTTTAAAATATTATTGACAAAACAATCTATTTATAGTCATGCAGTAATAATAAAAGCAACAATATTACATAGTATCTCAAGGCATGACCCTCTGTTTACATAAATGATACTCAAGGAATTATACCAGTACATGTAAAGGTTACTGTTGTATATATACTTCTTACACTCTTGTTCACTTTACTGTCTGTAGCTAAATGTCCTCTTACACTATATTATGATTCACTTTTATCTTGAATCTGACTGGTTCCTTTATTTACTTCTGAGTTATTTTTTTGACTGGTTTTAACTTTGAGCTTATTAACCACCTGTACCTGCCATTGGTCATCTGAGAGTGCCTTAGCCCAGTCTGGAATGTTTGAGGAGGGGAGTTTGATGTTTGACATCACTGACTTGATCTTATCTGTATCATCTGAAATTAATAAAGATAATACAATTAAATGATAAATATTCTTTTCAAACCGTTCAATCAAACTTAAGGATATTTTTTTACACAACAGTCTTAAATGATATGACATAGATGTGTACACAACTTTAAATACGCATAATCATATGTTAAAATAACAGATGCTGAATCATACAGACATAGGTAAGAATCAAATTTTAAATAAAGTCAACAAATATCATTCTGTACTTCTGGTTTGTAGGAATAGAACATAAAAAATCTGCAAACAAATAATGTATCTTTTATCTTTGAAGTTGCCTCTATAAAATAAACATTGTAATTACCATAAACAAGAGCCACCGCCGGGCGGGGGCAACGCTCGACTTTTTACTTTCTCTAAAAGCAAACAAAGAAATGTTTGAACAAAATCTTAACGTTTCCTTTTTATAAAATTAATCGTTCTGTCTTGTCACATTAGTTTTGTCTATATATTTTGTATATATAAATATACTAATTTATAAAAAAAGTATGTTTTGGGAAATGCAGAGTACAAAGTTCTTTAATTGTTTATACGTTTATTTCTGTTAGCGCTTTCAAATGTTTCTACATATCTTCAGACAGTAACGTATATATATATATATATATAAATAGAGACAATAATTTGAACTTCAAAGTCAAGGTCATTTATGAGTGAAGGTCAAGGTCTGTTAGGTTATTTTTAAGGGATATCCTTGAAGATTATTATGTTCAAGTTTGAAGACGATCTATTCAAAAATAACAAAGTTACAGCCAATAACAGCATGAACAAGCAAAATTTGGACTTTTAACCTTGAAGGTCAAGGTTAATTATGGATGAAGGTCAAGGTTAGTGTGGTCTACTGAAAGGTCTTGTCCCAAGGGTTGTTGTGGCCAAGTATGAAGACAATACACCAAGAAATAAAAAAGTTATGATCCAGGTTCAAGTTTGCGGACGGCAACGGCGGCGACGCCGGGACTATAGCAATACCTCTACTTTTTTTTTCAAAAAAAAAAAGTCGAGCTAATAAGATGATTCAATAACCTACAAGAAGTACCTTATATCTTGTTTACATGTTTACTTTTTACATCTTCTGATTAATGTACGTATATGTATTATTATGTTTTTAAGAACCTTCACCAAAATGACAAAAAATGTCTGAAAAGCTGCAACAGGTAACAGTTATTACTTAGTCCATATTTTACATTTTTATTAGTTTGTTCAGAAACAGCATCTTAATTTCTAAAGTTTTATACAAAATCTCACCTGTATCTTTTGAATGATCAGATTGTCTATCCTGGTTCCATAACATATCTTTTCTGTCTGGTCTAGGTAACTCGGGGACCTACAACAGACACATGTTAATGACATACTGCTAGTAAAGAATAGCTTCTTTTCCTTTACCTTATGCAATCTAGTTCCGAACAAAAGATGCAAGGTGAAAAAATAAGGAAAGTAAAGTGAAGATGGGACAAAGTATGAATGGGACAATCAACTACTGAGTAGATAAGTATACTTATGTTGGCATCCAATTGATGGTCTATTAATTGAAAAGCATAGTAGAGTTGTTATTTCACCAAAAATTTGTTGAAACCAGGCTCTGGTTGGTGATAACTTTGACTCATAGATAGCCCAGACACTTGATAAATATGACCGTTTTAACTTTGTTTTTCAACAAACATGTACATAGTCACCTAGTAATAAAGGAGCATGGAAGACAGTAAATTTTCACAACATATAAACAAGAGGGCCATGATGGCCCCGAGGTCGCTCACCTGTATATAGGCCCCCCACCCCCGGGCCAATTTTTACCCAAGGGCTTTTATTTGTTTATTTGAACAGACTTGGTAGACACCCATAAGAAGATATTTCATGCTAAACATCTAAGTTCTAGCTCATTGGCATTTTAAAAGAAGATTTTTAAAGTTTTTACTATACACATATAGTTAAAAACAATGTCACCCCTGGGGCAGGGCCAGTTTTGACCCCCGGGCGTTTATTTTAACAAACTTTGTAGATATTTACTTAAAGATGTTTCATGCTTAATATCTAAACTCTAGCTATTTGGGTTTTTCCAAAGAAGATTTTTAAGTTTTTGCTATACACATAAAAGGAAAATCAATGACCCCCCCCCCCCCCCCGGGCGGGGCCAGTTTTGACCCCAGGGCTTTTATTTGAACATACTTGGTAGACACCCATTAGAACATGTTTCATGCTAAATATCTTAGCTCTAGCTCTTTGAGTTCTTTAGAAGAAGATTTTTTAAGTTTTTACTATATGCATATAGGGAAAATCAATGACCCCCTGGGGCGGGGCCAATTTTTGGTAGACACTCATTAGAAGATGTTTCATGCCAAATATCTAAGCTCTAGCTCTTATGATTCTTTAAAAGAAAATTTTTTAAGTTTTTACCATATGCATATAGGGAAAATCTATGACCCCCTGGGGCAGGGTCAATTTTGACTCCAGGGCTTTTATTTGAACAAACTTGGTAGACATTCACTAGAAGATGTTTCATGCCAAATATCTAAGCTCTAGCTCTTATGATTCTTTAAAAGAAATTTTTTTAAGTTTTTACCATATGCATATAGGGAAAATCAATGACCCCCGGGGCTGGGCCAATTTTGACCCCAGGGCTTTAATTTGAACAAACTTGGTAGACACTCACTAGAAGATGTTTCATGCTTAATATCTTAGCTCTAGCTCTTTGGGTTCTTTAAAAGAAATTTTTTTAAGTTTTTACTATATGCATATAGGGAAAATCTATGACCCCCTGAGGCGGGGCCAATTTTGACCCCAGGGCTTTTATTTGAACAAACTTGGTAGACATTCACTAGAAGATGTTTCATGCCAAATATCTAAGCTCTAGCTCTTATGGTTCTTTAAAAGAAGATTTTTTAAGTTTTTACTATATGCATATAAGGAAAATCAATGACCCCCGGGGCGGGGCCAATTTTGACCCCAAGGCTTTAATTTGAACAAACTTGGTAGACACTCACTAGAAGATGTTTCATGCTTAATATCTTAGCTCTAGCTCTATGGGTTCTTTAAAAGAAGATTTTTTAAGTTTTTACTATATGCATATAGGGAAAATCAATGACCCCCTGGGTCGGGGCCAATTTTGACCCCAGGGCTTTTATTTGAACAAACTTTGTAGACACTCACTAGAAGATGTTTCATGCCAAATATCTAAGCTCTAGCTCTTATGGTTTTTTAAAAGAAGATATTTAAAGTTTTTTCTTTTGGTTGCCATGGCAACCAGAGTTCTGCATGGAATTAAATTCTTTGAACAATTTTTAAAGGTGACCACCAAAGGAACATTCCTGTGAAGTTTGGATGAAATTGGCTCAGTGGTTTATGAGGAGATGTCATTTAAAGCAAAAGTTTACGGACGGACGGACGACGGACGAAAAGCGATCACAAAAGCTCACCCTGTCACTTTGTGACAGGTGAGCTAATAAAAAAAACTGTTAAAATCTTGTGCCAGATAGCTTAACTAGAAATGTGTCATCATGCCACGGATGCCCCCGCATGCAGCCAAAATTTCAGATGTTATAATATTTAGTTCCAAATTTGTTTGCACAAATTATTGTTTTCATTTTAAGTTCAAAGCCCTTTAAACTTTTCAACGTTTACACAAACCATTTTCATACAATGTTCAAGGCACTGAAATTATTCAGTCTTAACCTTTTGAAAATAGCATATTTCATATTTGTAGCCAAAATAATGGCTACATACATTTCCACAAAAGTATGAGTGCTGAAAGTTCAAATTTTTTCCAATATTCAAGAAAGATAAGTTTGTCCAAAATCATTGAACCATGACCAAATTCAAACTTAAACTGCTTATTCCTAAGATGTATCTATATTATTTTCAAAGTGAAAGGGACATAACTCTGCCAAAAAATCATCGAACCATGACCAAATTCTAACTTGACCTGCCCATTCCTTTGACATATCCATATATCAAATTTGAGTTGAATATGTAACACTGTTGGGTAGATAATGAACAGAAACTGTAAATTTCATATTATTTTCAAAGTAAAAGGGGCATAACTCTGCCAAAAATCATCGAACCATGACCAAATTCGAACTTGGCCTGGGCATTCCAAAAACATATCCATATGTGAAATTTGAGTTGAATGTGTTGTACTGTTGGGGAGATAATAAACAGAAACTGAAAATTTCATATTATTTTCAAAGTAAAAGGAGCATAACTCTGCCAAAAATCATCGAACCATGACCAAATTCAAACTTGACCTGTATTTTCTCATGACATATCCATATGTCAAATTTGAGTTGAATGTGTTGTACCGTTGGGGAGATAATGAACGGAAACTGAAAATTTCATATTATTTTCAAAGTAAAAGGGGCATAACTCTGCCAAAAATCATCGAACCATGACCAAATTCGAACTTGACCTGTATTTTCTCATGACATATCCATATGTCAAATTTGATTTGAATGTGTTGTACCGTTGGGGAGATAATGAACGGAAACTGAAAATTTCATATTATTTTCAAAGTAAAAGGAGCATAACTCTGCCAAAAATCATCGAACCATGACCAAATTCAAACTTGACCTGTATTTTCTCATGACATATCCATATGTCAAATTTGATTTGAATGTGTTGTACCGTTGGGGAGATAATGAACGGAAACTGAAAATTTCATATTATTTTCAAAGTAAAAGGGGCATAACTCTGCCAAAAATCATCGAACCATGACCAAATTCGAACTTGACCTGTATTTTCTCATGACATATCCATATGTCAAATTTGATTTGAATGTGTTGTACCGTTGGGGAGATAATGAACGGAAACTGAAAATTTCATATTATTTTCAAAGTAAAAGGGGCATAACTCTGCCACAAATCATCGAACCATGACCAAATTCGAACTTGACCTGTATTTTCTCATGACATATCCATATGCCAAATTTGAGTTGAATATGTGCAACCGTTACTAAGATAATGAACGGAAACTGATGATGACGGAATGACAGAATGACGGAAGGACGGAATGACGGAAGGACGGAAGGACGGAATGACGGAAGGACGGAACAGGGTAACACTATATGCCCCGGCCATTACATGGCGGGGGCATAATAAAGTTTTATTATAATTTTTCTTATTTAAATTGTTTTTATGGACAAAAAGACATGCCCTTATACATCAAGAGCGGAGCATGACAAGAACAGAACATAAAACTTATCTCCAGTTGCATGTCCTGTTCAGGCTATGTCCTAGAGTAAAGTGAATTTTAGATACATGTAATATGTAGAGTTGTCATGATAGAATGAATCAGTATTTCCTTTTACTCATTTCAACCTTAATATTGAAATTACTTTAGTAAACAATAAGCTCATGTTGGTTAATCTATATGTGAATGTTGAAGAACTTTATCACTTCAAGATACATTTCTTCATTATAATCTTCTGAATCATAAAAATGCTGCTTCACAATCAAATTCAATGATTATAATATATTTTAAATCTATTTTTTTTTTGTTTCAGATAATGATAATCAATATTTATATATATTGTATAATGAACTACACTTGTACAATATTTCAGATCATAATTATCACCTGCATATATCCAGGTAAATTTGATGTATTTGGGTAGTCTGGATGTCTCACTTGGTGAACTAACCCCTCTGGTACATGACACTCCATATCTTCCTCTATATTCTCTATCACAGCTGAACCATTGTTACCAGGAGATGAATGTATATCTTCTTCTGTCTATATACATTAAAGAGAAAGATGTATATTTACATTTCATGAACACAAAAATTATTCTATCTCCATTAATTAGTAGCATGCCAAGATAAGTAACTGTTCAGCAATGATTCTACCAACATTTTAACTTTTCTGTTAGGGCAATTCTTCTCAATGTATAATTTAAGACAAACTTGGGTACTTATTTTAGCTTCTTTGTATTGTAAGTTTATTTTAACTTATCTCAAATTTATCTATGAGAACTAACCAATACTGGTGTCAAATATAAAGGAAACATGACCATGATCCAAAAACAACTTATGATCCTTGGATTGAAAAAGTTATTATTTATAATTATGAACAGAGCCCATCTATAAATAAGTTATTGCAAACCTTTTGTAGACAAATATTTAACAAATCAGTGCATTAATATCAAAGAAAATTTCATATTTTACAATGTACCTTCTTTCATACAAAAGATTACGTCACTTGAGTTGATTTGTCTAAGTATGAATTAAATCCAACCATAAATAAACAAAGCTATGAAATTCAATAACTTGACCTTGACAAGCAAGGTCATTTTAAGATCATGGTCACCTTCAATCATTCAATATGTCTGTTTTGTAAGTTATATTCCAACTTATAGATCAATAAGTATTTCTATTTTTATTAACAATGACCTTGTTTGACAAATGACCCAAAAAGACAAAATAGTAATCCAAAGCAAGGTCTCCACATAAGATTGCTATACATAACAATTTACCATATCTCATTCCTTTCTCTAGTTATTGACCATAAACCATTTTTCTAGTTTTGTTGACAGTGACCTTGTCCCAATCAAATCCATCCCTAGGTCTTCACGTAAGCTTGCTATATACCAAGTTTGATTATAATAAGTCAATCTGTTTGTTTGTTTGAGTTTTACCTCACACGGACACATTGTAGGTCATATGGCGATGTTCCAGCTTTATTGGTGGAGGAAGACCTCAGGTGCCCTTCTTGCATTATTTCAGGCAGGAATGAGCATCTGAGTAAAACCACCAATGTTCCGTAAGCTTCCTCACATGAAAGAATCCAAAGTTCCTGTCAGGATTCAAACCCAAAGCGGTGAGGGGCAAGTGGTTTGAATCCAACGACCTTAACCACTCGGCCTTGGTCGCCCCATAAGACAATCTGAACTGTAGTTATCAACCAGAAATCAACTGTTTGACACATGCTCAACGCCCACTTATCAACTGTCTTCCAGTCAGGCTTTCTCTGACTTGTATCAACACACACAATTGTTAATTTTCATACCCAATATTTAAGCTCAAAATAATAATGGACCTAATACATCTACATTGTTGTATTTCAACATGTCAAAAATCTCAATTTCTAATAATTTGACAGTGTTTACCTCAGAGTCTTCTTCTTGCTCTGATTCTGAGCTAATGTCTAGTCCTGCTTGACCACCATCTTGTGATAGAGCTTGGTAACCAATGTAACCACCATATCCATCATCATTATCATCATCATCTTCTTCATCACTGTCTGATATGTCCACATTTATCACCACAGCTGGATGCTCTACATGTAAATTGATAAATGGAATTTGAAACGGTTCTAATAAAGCCTGTAGTTATATATTTTTCTACCTACCCAGTAAGGCCCCCACGATTACACGTTTAAACGGATTCGTTTCGATTTTCATTCATAAACGTTTACGATATTGTTTATCGTTTAATCGAAATGACCATATTGTCTTATAATTTTTTTAATCATTGCCTGTAATCATGGATTTTATCAATTCTAGTGGTTTATTCCAAAGTAAACAAACGGAAAATAGGTGTTTACAGCCCTCCACACAGCATTACGGTGCAAAATTGCTCGTGACATAATACATTTTTGGTAAAAAATGGGTTTACAATGCAAAAAATGTGTGCTGACTCAATCGTGATGAGCCCTGCGCATTCTTTATTTGTACATGTGTAAAAAATAGAAAGAAAGACATCATTTGGCGACTCAGATACATGGTGTGTATAGTACATAGAGGTACCACCGTTTAAACGGTCTCGTTTCGGTTCTTAGCAGTCGTGTAAACGTTTACAAAAAATTGTAAACGTGGGAGCCTTACTACCCAGTAGGTTTAACAAGTAGATCTTATGGCATTGGTCTTATACTGTTTGAAAAATATGCCACTGGACTGTAGCTACAAACAAACTTACTTCAACAACTATAAAATATGTCCACTTAACACAGATGCCCTCACATTCCACTGTTGCAAAAGTCTATATAATTACAGGTGCATATAAACATTCCAGTTACATTTTATATTTTAGAGTCCAAATATTGTATGCTGAATTTTACTAGATCTGGGGCCATAATTGTTATTGCAATTATTCTTAAAAATGTACAAGTTACAAAGGAGCTTAAATTTATATGATGACTTGATATACTTCAAACTTTCTATGGCTCTAGCGTTATGTTAGTTGGCTTTATTAGAGAGCAACTCTAACAATCTCTAATATATTGCTCAGGAAAATTAACCATAATATACATGATATTATAAAAACCTTAAGTATTCTTTCATATCAACATTCCACAGCAAATACCTCTTATTTCTTTGACAAGTACACTTTAATCAACATTTATTACATATTATAATGTAACTGAAAGACAAAAATTATATTTATTGAAATATAGAAAATGTTAACAAACCAGCATCTTCAATTTCATGCTCATTATGAGAAGGGTGATCCCTATCTTCCTCTGGCTGGGGAACAGGCCCCATCTTTTCTACAATCACACTGTCCTTTCTTTTTATTTATGTAAATTCTATATTGAATCTGAAAAAAAAGTTAATATTTAACAGGGTCTTTCAAATAAAATGGCCTGGAAACACGCTATGTAAACCCATCTTGCTACAATTAAACAGGTCTCGGTATAACTCACTATAGTTTTGCTATATGCAAATTATGTAAAAAGGTCGAAAATTAAATACAAGAGCAAAAATGAAAAATTTAACGACATAATGTTATTTAAAAAACTTTAAACTTGTTGAAAAAAGATGAATATTTCAGAAAATAATGTTTTTAAAGCCATATTTGTTGAAATTTTGCATAAATTTTGAAAATGCACCAAATTAACATCAAATATTTGTAAATAACATCGTGAAACATCAAATATTTGTAAATAACATCGTGAAATATTATAATTTTACATTATACAATTAAATAAAAAAAATTTCTCTGTAAAATCAATTTCTTTTTTGTCATTGAACAATGCATGAATTTATAAAAAGCCCATGAAGCTCGGACCTATTTTCAAATATGAGAGTAGATTTTTACCTTGACACCGGGAATGAAAAATTCCTAATTTCATTGCAAATCTCTAAAATTGTTAGTTTTTATAGTTAAAATTGATAATATAATGTAGCCAGGGTTAGTTTTTAGTAAATTTTTTGATTGATTTAACAAAACATTATCGTATAATTTGATTTTTGAATGGTGATGTACTATGCCAGATCACGGCCGGTAGATAACCCAATAACATGACTCAACAGAGACATCTTTTTTCGTAAAATTGGTCTGACTCCAGACCATTCTATTTGAAAGACCCTGTATTTAAATAACATTTTTGTAAAGCAATCTTATCAGAGAAACTGGCAATATATTCCTTAGTCCAATATATTAAACTTTACAGGCTTGTTATAGCCTGACATCTAATAGTTATTGCTCAAAAACGCATAACATCATAAAAAATTAAAAAAATGTCTATTGTCTTGCCTTTCAAGCTTTATTCAAATGCTTATCTACTTTTCTTTCAATTTCATGCTCAATCATACACAAAAACTCTCAATGTACTTATCAATTTAAAATAAGATATAAACATCAATCTATTTTTGTCTATCAGCCATACTGGTTAAGCAAGGTGCTTTACAGATTGATTCCAAATTTTTGAACGGAAAAATATATTCGAACACACTGACGGTGCATGGGCAATTAGTTTGTTAAAAAAATATTCTGTTAGAATGTTCTGACTCAGTTAAACGCTTGCATTTGAATTAGCCAATCAGATTTAATTGGTCGATTTATTTCCCGAAAATATACCTGTAAATGTCCGAAAAAAAACGACCAACCAGATGACGGTTGTTTATATTCGTCAAGATGGCGGTGTTTTATAGAAATTTCAATGGGGAAATATTTTGAAGCCGCAGGTGAGTTTATATCACATTGTCATTATAGGTTATTGGTATATTTTGATTACTTTTATGTACTATTAATTGCCCAGCATGATAAATGCTTGTGATATTATCTCTAACGAATGCAACAGTCGTGTAACTTTGTGTTCCCTGCGTAGCCACGATCGATGTCGACCTCGCGAAAATGAACAGTTTTTTGTTACTTTGACGGCCAGTACTCGTTAAGTATAAGATATATAAGAAAAGTTTACATTGGTTTGATAGATAAATCATTCGACTACAAATTGCATAATTTCTTTTTATTCATGCTGTATCGTGTAAAATTGCGAGACAAAAACCCAGATTGGGCATAGACACCTTCTTATGGGAGTTGTTACCCTTGTCTATATATTAGTATATAGTGTAATGGGAATGGACTTGGAATATATTTCTGACTTAGGATAAATGTTTTCTACCATCAATTTGATCAAATACATATTTTGTGAACATTCAATGAGCCGTACCCTTTGTCCACCCCAAGTGACTGTGGTTATAAATCGACAAAATTAAAGCATACTAATATTTCTTACCGGTTTTAATTCTAAATTGGCACCAAGTTTAACATACCAATTAAAATAGCACATCAACAACCTAATTTCTACAAATAAGTTTGTTGTTGTTGTTGATGATGATGATAATCTGAATCACTAAACGCTTTATAAAAAATATCGTCCCCTTATCAACTCGACCGTAGAATAGAATAGAATAGAATAATGTTTTATTACCAATTATGGGCCTTCTCAGGCATACAATTACATAAAATATCAGTACATTAAATGTACATAAACAAAACAATAATAAGATAACATAAGCTAATTCTGATTTGATAACACAATTAACAAAGGACTAGTAACTATATGTATTCAACAAAGGCATTTTAAATGACAACACAGGGTTGTAATAGAATGCGAAATGGACTCCATTTCGCGAAATGAACTTACCGCCTACGAAATGGACATTTGTTTGTTTAACCATGATGAGTAATATTATTTTTAATATGAAAAAGGCAAAGCCTCAAAGCGAGCTCGATGTACTTGTATGAAAGCTCATTTTTATTTCAAATGCAGTGACGAGTGCCAAACTGTTACTGTACAGATCAGGGGAAGTAACCGCTGCGAGGAGTTTGGACGAGTGCGTGTGACGTCACACGTACTGTGTTAAATATGGCTCCGCCCCTGTCGTGAAATGAATAACGAGTTTTGAAAACGTTGATAAAACTTTGTTTATTTTATTTCATTCTATAATTTTTCAAGCGAAATAAAGATTTTTTTAAGTGAAATAAATGTAATACTTAACACGTTTGCGACATTAAATTAGTGTACTTGATTTGTTTGTTTTGCACGTGCTGTTTGGCGCTACGCTGTGACGTCACGTAAACATTACTTTAAACGTCTGTACAGCGTTAACGACTGAATAAAAGATATTGGTGTTTGGATTAATTTTCTTAGTTAGACCATTTTCTTTCATTCTAGATAGTTTTCACAACAAAATTCGACAAAAAGTTGTTTTCATTTATCAGATTTCAAACAAAATGGCGCCTTCGATTTTCATTTTTTATACACAGCTTCCGTTATTCTGGTTCCCTGTCCAATTATCGTTCCCATAAACGTGCGCGGGTGACCAGTCTACACATCCGTTTTCATTCAGAATTCCTCAGTTTTTATCGTTATCTTTAAATTCGAAAGGTTGCGATGTGTCCAATTCCGTACTTTGGACGAAAGTTTTCAAAACCATCACTTAGCAGGTACTCGCGTTACCGTAAAGCTCGCTTTGCGAGCAGGCCCTTCGGGCCAGCTCGTCGAGCTCGCTATTAATTTATGTCAAACATATGACATAAAACTACAGATTGAACCAATTAAAATTACTATTTTCCTATTTTATAGTCATATTTCTGAAAATAATCTGGCCTCTACGAAATGGAGTTTTCGGCCACGAAATGGAGTTTTCGCTTACGGAATGGACATTTGCTTTACAAATTATTGTGTAACTGACATGTCACAAAGGGTATCTTTTCTATTCACTAACGTTTATTCTGGGACGACAAAAATATTTTTGTCCCAGGTTAAACATATGATAATATGAAAAAGGCAAAGCCTCAAAGCGAGCTCGATGTACTTTTTATGTGAAATAGTATGAAATAATCGCTCATTTTTATTTCAAATGCAGTAACGAGTGCGTGTGACGTCACACGTACTGTGTTAAATATGGCCCCGCCCCTGTCGTGAAATGAATAACGAGTTTTGAAAACGTTGATAAAACTTTGTTTATTTTATTTCACTCTATATTTTTTCAAGCGAGATAAAGATTATTTAAAGTGAAATAGATGTTAAACTTAAAACGTTTGCGACATTAAAATAGCGTACTTGATTTGTTTGTTTTGCACGTGCTGTTTGGCGCTACATTGTGACGTCACGTAAACAATACTTTAAACGTCTGTACAGCGTTAACGACTGAATAAAAGATATTGGTGTTCGGATTCATTTTCTTAGTTAAACCATTTTCTTTCATTCTAGATAGTTTTCACAACAAAATTCGACAAAAAATTGTTTAAATTTATCAGATTTCAAACAAAATGGCGCCTTCGATTTTCATTTTATCATTCACAGCTTCCATTATTCTGGTCCCCTGTCCAATTATGGTTCCTATAGACGTGCGCGGGTGACCAGTCTACACATCCGTTTTCAGTCAGAATTCCTCAGTTTTTATCGTTATCTTTAAATTCGAAAGGTTGCGATGTGTCCAATTCGGTACTTTGGACGAAAGTTTTCAAAACCATCACTTAGCAGGTACTCGCGTTACCGTAAAGCTCGCTTTGCGAGCAGGCCCTTCGGGCCAGCTCGTCGAGCTCGCTATAATATAAAACAGAATCTTTCTATTTGAAAGACCATGTATAAAACACTGAACTTAATGTGGCATTATTATACGATTATTTTCAAATGTACAAGCATAAATAATGAAAAAAATATAAACAAAATTGTTTAAATAATAATTTTATGTCATATATCACTTGTTCATTATTAAAAATGATATTAAATAGTACACTTAAACCAAAATTAAAGAGACAAATGTCCATTTCGTAGTCGAAAAGTTCATTTCGCGAAATGGAGTCCATTTCGCATTCTATTACTACCGGACAACACATAAAAGAAATAGAATTTGTAAAAAACCTCAACATTGACTAACCCACAATATCTTTTGAGATGTACATTGACAAAGACTAATTAATGATGTTAATAAATAACTACAATTACTTATTATGCATAAAAGTTCTATTATTGTTGTACTGTATAAATGTATTTGACTAAAATGATTAGTTTCGCCCTCAATTTTCTCCGGTCGAAGGCCGGTCTTTTTTCAGATTGACTTCCCGTAAATTTTACAGGGAAGAACTGAAAATAAGAAGAGTTTTCATTGATCATTTTAAAATTACAAAATGAAATCTGAGAATCCCATTGACCATTCCAAAATAAAATGTAAAACATTCTAAGATAACTAAAATGTAAAGGATATAGTTCTTTCCATTATGAAATACAATGTAAAGGATAGTTCTAACATAAAATGTACAGGATAGATTTTTAACTTTCTAGTTAAATGGCTCAGTTATTTAAGATCTGTTTAATAATACTTCTTGCATTCAGATCCTATTACATTTTCTAGTGAACAGTTTCTTTTACGTAAGAATTTACTGAGTTTTTTTAAATGTAGAATATATGAGAACTTAATTATCCGGTACCCTTAGTTTATGATGTTCAATAAGTGTCTAATATATTATATGGTTATAGATGTGTTCAATAGATATAATGTCTATAATTTTTTTATATATTTTTGCATAATAATCAAGTATTACCGGCTGTGTACATATGTTGTTAGAAATTGAATTTACCTACCGAAACATGACAGGTTGGTTTAGAAACACATATATCTTATAAAGTGTTCCATTTCTCAAGATTATTAACCCTACAAGAAATTATTATGTCATTGTTATGCAAGCTATATGACTTTGCATGGAAAACTAAGAACCAACATATGCAAGTTAACCAGTTTTCCTTCAGTCGAGTACCTTTTTTATGAAGAAACTTCATGTTGTTTTAATGTCAATGTTCCGTTACAATAACTAACGAAATTTACCGTTACTGAGAATTAAAATTATGCTGCATGCATTTTGAAATGCCCTCAATATTTTTTTCAACGATAAGGGAGGCAATGTATTTATAATCATGTAAATGCAATAATTTGTATTAGGGGTGCATGGAAATAACATTAGAAAAAAAAGATGAAAACTATTTTTGAAGTTACTGGAATACATGCTAAGAAAGATTATTACTGCTAAGTTAGTTGCTATGTAAGAGGACCAATAAATATGCTTAAATAATGTGTGGAAAGAAATAAAAAACCTTTTCCAAACTTATTCATCAAAAAGTCTAATTTGACAACGTACGTATTGCAAAATTGAAAATGTTACAGACTTTGTTTGATTTAATTTTTCCTATAGAACATGATGCTTGAACGCAACGTATATAACTGTTAGCAAAAATTATCTAAACTATCCAATAACTTATTGGCAGATATTTACAATAAAAGAAATAAGATACAAATGTATACACATGTAGTTTAAATCTAAAAGACTCTCTCAAACAACACTTGATAAAAAATCTTTAGCACAGACCAGACATACCTTATACATTAGATTTGGAATAAAAATCATGTCACTTTTAATAATCTTGAACTAAAATAGAGAAAAACAGAATCCCTAAAAGAAAGTCCAACACGACAAAATTGAAAATGTTGCAGGCTCGGTCTGATTGAGTCTGTTCATGGACGGTACTGGAAAGTGCAAATTACCGTTCACGCCCCTAGCACCGGCTTAAGCAGAATTCAACATTTAAACACGAAAATGGTGAACGTTTGGATTTAGAAACAAATATCCGCAGATGTGTTTATACGGCGGTAATCATGGAACCTTCAACGCGACACAGTAGTGCCATTCCTTGAAAAGCGGCGTATGGTCCCCAAGTAAAAGAATGCGTGTGCCCTAAACGAGAAATCAGTTGACTGAACTAAATAAATGAAATTTTGAAAGGGGATCTACAGTTAATGCTGGTCCAGGTTAATGCAATCGTACGTAGTTCTAAATCACACAAACCTATTTTGTAATTCATACTCAATGTGGCTTATTAGCAAAAAATAACATGTATACATAAATGTTAATTTTATGACAAATATCACATCTTAAAATGGAATCTAGACATATCCCCTCCCAGACAATTCATCAAATTTTGAATCTCAAGACACTACACCCCCGACAATCGGCAAAAAACTTTATCCTCATATTGGTTTCTAGAGTAAATATTTCAACATCAAAAAGCTTTTTTAATTACCCTTTTTTAACTCCTTGCAACTTTTAATATATTCAAACATTTAAACATAATATGAAAGACAATTTACTGTTGACATACAAAATTTACAGTTAACATACAAATGAAACTTTTCCTATGGCAACGTTTAAACCATTAGTGTATTTAAACATAGCATATCTATGAAACGCAATTTAAAGATGACATACGAAGTCAATAAAAATGAAATTGAAATATATTAAAATTACAATGTGTTTGTGTGTGTATTGTTTTATTTTGTTTTATTTTGTT